GTTCCAGTGTCTGACCACCCTCACAGTGAAGAACTTCTTCCTAATATCTCATCTAAACCTCCCCTCTTTCAGCTTAAACCCATTTCCCCTTGTTTTGTCATTAGTTGTCCTTAGGAAAAGTCCCTCCCCAGCTTTCTGGAGCCCCTTCAGGTACTGGGAGGCCACTAGAAGGTCTCCCTGGAGCCTTCTCTTCTCCAGGCTGAACAGCCCCAACTCTCTCAGCCTGTCCTCACAGCAGAGCTGCTCCAGCCCTCACATCATCCTGGTGGCCCTTCTCTGGACTACTTCTAACTGGTCCATGTAACAGCACACACAGGCTGCCCAATCCACGCCAGCCTACAGCCCTGAGAGCCAGAGCTGACCTTGCAGGGCTGAGCTGAAACTGCTCCACACGCTCACTTCTCCCCGCTCCATCAAAGGACTCGTTTGCTTTCGTGTCCCCAGTGACATTTTGAAGCCCAGGTACGGCTGTGTTTCAGCACATTATCACAGAGAAAGAGTGAGAGGGGTAAAAACAGCATGAGAGAAGCTCCAAGAATGAGCAAGGAGAAGGAAGCATGGAGAAGGAATGTCCCCTGCACGAATCCTCCAGCCCTCACCTGGGCTGTTCCAGCTCCTTCCAGGCTGGAGCTCGGTGTGTGGGACCTGAATGAACCAGGTTCTTCCCATCCAAGTGCAGCTGTGAAATGCAGCTGCATGGGGGTTCCAGCACAGGAGAAACACCTCAAGCCATGTGATTTAACTGTAAGTGAGTGTTCATCCATGACTCACGAGGTGCACAGTGCCCGGGGGATGACAAATGTGACCCACTGACCTATATTGGATAATTATTTCCCCCTTTTGCTGCTAGAGGCTCTTTGCTGTAACCCCACATTTTCTTTGCTATGGTTTACAGGTTGCCCACTTCCAAACAGCATTGAGGCAGCACTTCCAACAATCCCAGCCCCATGGCTCGCTGCTCTGCTCTGCTCTGCCAGGGCTAGTTGGTACCTCTCCTGGCACATCAGCTGTCCTAGAGAGAAGGTTCTGGGCAGGAAAAGCCATGAAGCACACGGGCATTTCAGGAGGCTCCTCTCAGGAGCTGGGCACGCAGGGCACTGGTGTCAAGCACCCCAGGAGGGAATGAGAAGTGATGAGGGAGTGATGCCCAATGGTAGTACAAGGGGCAATGGGTGTGAGCTGGAACACAGGAGGTTCTGCTTCAACTTGAGAAGAAACTTCTTTCCAGGGGCACGCAGGGCACTGGTGGAGCCCTGTGCCAAGCACCCCAGGAGGGAATGAGAAGTGATGAGTGATTGATGCCCAATGGTAGGACAAGGGGCAATGGGTGTGAGCTGGAACACAGGAGGTTCTGCTTCAACTGGAGAAGAAACTTCTTTCCAGTGAGGGTGACAGAGCCCTGGGACAGGCTGCCCAGGGAGGGTGTGGAGTCTCCTTCTCTGGAGACATTCAAGACCCGCCTGGACGCCTCCCTGTGTGATCTCATTGAGGTTCCTGCTCTGGCAGGGGGGTTGGACTGGATGATCTTTTGAGGTCCTTTCCAGTCCCCAACATCCTGTGATGCTGTGAATGGAAGGAGGGAGATGGTTCTCCAGCACATCTAAACTGGGGTAGAGAAGCAAACAAACGTGCTCAAATTCACAGACAAGCAGCACTTCAAACCTGACAGCACAACAGTCTCGGTTTGCTGAGCTCCTGTATTTTAACAACCCACAGTAACTGTCCACACATGCTCACAGCAAATGCCTTCAGTAGAGGTTTACTCTGAAGTGTTTCATCCCGTGTCTGCTGCCGATTAAGAGAATTCATGTAACCAGTCGATGTGTGGTGACTTGCCCTGTGTGTTGGAGTCAGGGCTTCTGATACTCTGGCTCCAAACCAACGTGACCACAGAGTTTCTTACTCTCCAGCAACTCAAAACAGGACAAAGTTAAGTGGGATGAAGTTAAGCCCACAAAAGCTAAACAGTCAGGAAATCTTTCCAACAAGATCTGTTGGAATCAGGTCCCAAGAGAAGGAGTGAGAGCCCCAGCATCCCTCAAAGAAATGTAAAGCTGGATTAGACAAAGCCCTGGGGAAAGGGGAACGGTGGGGGGGAGGATGTTGTGGGGAAAACCCACGTGCTAACTGAGTTTTAGCTAACTCCTGAAGGATGGAGGGAAAGGAACCGAGGAGATTTGTTTTCACCTCTCATTTTCAGACTCTGAATTATGCATTCATCCCCTCTCCACTCTAACGAGACCACCCATCTCAGCCAAAACCAGGCAAGATGCAAAAGAGAAGAAGCACAGTCCCCCTCCTCCCATCAGCACCCACCATCTCCACGCCAGGAGCAGACAGAACCAGAGGACACTTCAGAGGGAACCTACCTCGTTCCGAGAAGCCGCAGCGCGGTGTAACGGGGTGAGCCAAACAGTGTCCTTTGCATTAACATTAGCACCTGAGGAAGAACAAAAGGAGAGGTCAGGGGACAGAGAAGTGATCCAGAGTCCCAGGTCGGGTCTGCAGCCACCTCTGAGGCACCCACTGGGCAAGAGTGACAGTTCTGCTACAAGAGGGGACCTTGGGCTGAGCTTTAGGTGAGGCACAACTGCAAGAGGAACAAGCTTCAGGCTGGATGAGGCTTTGAGCAACCTGGTCTAGTGGAAGGTGTCCCTGCTGCTGGCAGGGGGGTTGGGACTGGATGAGCTTTAAGGTCCCTTCCAACCCAAACCATTCTATGATTCTATGAAGCTGCACCCCTTGGGAGACCGGTGCCAGCGCACTGCAAAGGACACAGCATGGCAGAGACTGAAGAGACTACACCTCCCGGAGTGCCAGCTTCCCCACAGAGCCAAAAAACCACAACAGAGACCCAGCGAGCAGTTCTGCTCCTTGCTTTAAACAAAACAAGGTGACTTGAGGCAAAAAACCAGAAGGTTTCATGTTGGATCTGTGGTCACTGTGGGCTGCATCTCCATACAGGCTGCCCAGGGAGGGTGTGGAGTCTCCTTCTCTGGAGACATTCAAGACCCGCCTGGACGCCTTCCTGTGTGATCTCATTGAGGTTCCTGCTCTGGCAGGGGGTTGGACTGGATGATCTTTTGAGGTCCCTTTCAATCCCTAATATTCTGTGATTCTGTGACAGATGACTGCCACCCCAGCTCTTGTGCTCAGCACTTGGGTCCCACCAGCCCTTTCTTTGCTGCTGAGAACTCAACACACAGGCATGAAAAAGTCAACACGGGGCACGTAAGGGCATCCCACGCTCTGCAGACGGAGCTGAACGTCCCCAATCCTGTTTAACAAGCCCTCAGCAAAGGATTTCCCCAAGTCTCTCCTTGGCAGGGTCAGGTAGGATCACAGCAGCCTCAGGGTTCCCCCACACCACCAGCGAGGAGCTGTGAAGCCCACGTGCCCCGAGGTGCCACGCTGGTGAACAGCAGACGAGGAGACTCCCCTGTCTGTACCCCACAGGTACAGGACCCAAGCGCAGAGCTGAGTGTCTCTGCGGGGAAACAAAGAGCAGCTTCATGCCAAATAACACAAGCCAAAACTGAGCAAAACCCCCTCGTTTTTAGCTGACTCTTCTCCATGAGCAAGTGAAACTCTGCTCCCCTGAGCATCCTGCCATTCAAGGCATCTCTGAGGCGTGCATCCCCACTGCACCCTCCTCCAGCATCTCCTCCTGACACCTTCCACACATTCCCCTCCTGGTTTGGTAACCACCTTTGCTGTTTCAGTTCCAAGATGCTTCCCTGTCTGAACAAACCTCTTAGGATTTATGGCAACATTTCCTAATCTTCCCCTGGCTGCAACCCCCACTGGCTTTAAACATGAACACAGGGTTGCTTGGAGGGTGACCAAAAACTATGGCTCTGCAGCCTTAAGGCCAGAGGAGATCAGAAAGACGCCTGAAAGGCAGCGCCAGCGCTCGAGCCAAGTGCCCTGAGCCTTGGCCCTTACCTGACAGTATGAGGAGCTCGAGGATTGCAACATCTCCTATGTAGGCAGCAGCATGCAGCGGCGTTCTTCTTTCTTGGTCCTGAGCAAGGATGTAAGAAACAAAAACCATCTGTGAGCTTTGAGGGCTTTGAGGGAGATCTCTCACAGCACAATCCCTCCTCTGCTCCAGTCTGTCCCAACATCCCTTTAAGTGTTTGCAGCATCTGGGGACATGGGACAAGGAAGAAAATTGCTTAAACCCAGCACCTTCCTGCAGCACTGTTGGGGGGCACAGCCCTTCCAGAGCCCCACGGGTGCTGGGGTGCAGCTGGTGGCCAGAGCAAAGGGTACCTGGACTATAACCCCAGCACAAGACGGGAAGACTGTGAGAGCTCCAACCACTCATTTCAAACCCCCCCAGACTCCCTGGAGACCGACCTGACCTGGCTCTGGTGCTACTGGACTTAATGAACATCTGCAAAGCACTCTGCGACCCGAGATGAAAGCCTGGCCGCGCTCACCGCGCACAGGCTGTCCCATTCCACACCCTTTTATCCTCTCAGCCAACGATAAAACACTCAGAATTACAGACAGCTCTGAAACCAGACTCAGACCTGTCAGCTGCAGAAGGCCAGGGAGTGCAGAAGCCCCTCTCTGATCTTAGATTGGATTAGCCAAAGAAAAAATACCTTTCACTGCTGTGTATTCAGGGCCAGGCCCTGGGTAACCTCTGCCTCCAGGCATTTGGTTCAGGTTTTCCTCAGGGAACACGCCAGATAATAAAGCCAAGAAGCAAACCAGTAGAAAACCAGAGAAGCACAACTCAATTTCAAACCCCAAATTTTGTGTTTGGGTGCAGAGAGGGAAATGTAATTGCTTTTCATTAAGTTAAAAACCATTTGGAAAATGTTGGTGGTTCTATTTTATTTTTTGGTAACAACTTGTACTGGCACAACCAGGCAGGAGGATGTGAAAGTGAAACCCAGCTGGCAGGTCACTGAACAAGCAACAACATTTCTAAACCTGCACACAAAAAGGAAATTAAGTGTTAACAATTGTGGTTTTATTCCTTCAGCAGCTGCGCAAGAGCTCAAGCGAAACAATCCCAACTCTCAATCCTGACAAGGGAGGACGAAGAGCTGCCGGGTCCCCAACTGAATTAGTTATGGAAAAAAAAATCCCCCACGTTATCTCTGTGTAATAAGCAAAGATAGGATCGAATCTTTAGCCCTGGTTGGCACACATGCACCAGCACAGGGCCACCCTCACCTTCCCGGGACACCGGCCAGCAGCCGCAGCGGCCGCCCTTGACCTCAGGGTTTAATGTTGTGAGAATTGGGGTGTGCCACCAGCCCCGGCTCCACAGGCTGGGTTGGGAAAACACAAACAGGAGTGTGCCAAAAAAACCAGCAGCTGCCTGCTGCAGAGCTGGGAACAGCACGGACCAGAGCCCCAGTTAATGCCAGAGCTCAGAGGAGAGGAAGACAGTGAACCAGAACAGGTTGCTCTTGCCTAGAGCTCTAAACTTAGCCCAGTTTTTGGGCTGAGAGTGCAGGAATTACTGACCCGGCACCAGTCCAACTGTGCCACCGTGTCAGGCAGACCTGGGCCGGTGCAGTCGGTGCTGGCCAACCCACCAGCCCCATCACAGCAGCCTGGGCTTCTTATCTGCACATCTGCCGCCGATTCGTTAGCAGGAAGCTTGTAAAGCAGATCAAGGGAAGGCACGCTGACACGTCAGACGGGGAACGCTCACAGGCAGGTTTCACCCCTTCTGGGGTGAAGCTGGAGCTCAGTCCCCACGCTCATCACCATCAGACTGGGGCTACCAAGGGCTGCTCCCCCAGGAGCCAACCCAGCCACTTGTGGGACCCAGAGGGACGTGTCCAAACAGCAGCCACCTCTCCAGCCTCCCTGTCCCGCTCTGGAACGAGCATCAAAACCACCCTCCACCATCAGGCTTCAGATGAGCGCAGTGGAAATTCCTCCTAACACTTATGAGGTGAACTTGGCTTTGCAGCATCGCTCAAAACCTCCTTCCCCTCTGAGGAACAAGCTCAGCACAAGGCAGACCCGTTGAGTTCACACCAAATTATTTTGGGTCACCATCCCAAAGGGGAAAAAAAAGGTAAAACTGGCAAGGTAGCAAAGCTGAGCCTCTGTGAAAAGTCCTCCCACACACCCCACAGCCTCTCAGCAATGCTCTGCACAGCCAAGAGCTTTGGGAGGCTCTCATCATCCCCTGGGGAGGGGCAGGAGTCCTGGCCTTCCCTGCACCCCATTTTACAGATGATAAGATCGAGGCAACAGGACAAAGCTGCACAGCAAATGGCAGCTGAGCTGGGAGCAGAATCCAGAAATCTTTGTCTCAAAACCCCGGCTCTGACCATCGACACCAAAAAGAGCCTCCCCGGGACAGCACCCACATCTCTGCCCTCCCCTCTGCTCAGGAACTGCACTGCAGGGAAGGAAATGGGGGAGAGCTGGTGGGGAAAGGGGAGCAAGCAGGGCTGGGCAGCACTCACCAATACATTAATGTTCTCCTTCTGATTGAGCAACGACCGCACCTCCTCTATATCGCGGTTGAAGATGGCTTGGACCAGAGGAGGCTACAAAGAAAAAGAGAAGCAAGTTGTGAAGGTGGCACCACGTGGAGGACACAAGAGGGAGGAGAACAGGCAGAGTCATGGCATATCAGAGACTTTACATCAGCCTGATTCAGCCAGGACCTCACCCCACGAACGAGCCCCCCACACCGGCTGCTGCCAGAGCCGGGCCCACCAGCAGCACTCAGCAGCTTCCTCACATCCATGGCTCAGCCAACATCAGGGATTGATTTTCAAGCCAGCAAAGGTTCTTTTCTTGGTTGTTCACTGGTGAACAGACCAGGGAATCACTGGAAAAGCCTCCTGGCTTCCTGAGTCCAAGGAGCAGCACTGACCACAGCCCCAGCAGCCCACCTGCAGAGCCAGCACGGCTCAGCTCTCCGAGCACGGCCAGTCCAGCTCCTGCTACCCAAAGCTTTGGCCACAGCCAAGAAAATCCTCCCTCCGAGCTGGCTGAAGTCTCCTGGTATGAGACAAGTCTTTGCAGACAGTGAATCAGGTTTCCCAAGGAACAACCAGGTGATGTCTCGTGCTCTCCTGCAGAGCTGTGTGCTTACTGCTGCTCTCCTCTCTTTTGAGGAACACCTACAAGGCTACACTGGCTCCCATGGTGCAAAAAACCTGGCAAAGCCTGGCCTGGAGCTCCTCCTGTTTCCTGCTACCCACATCTCAATGAAGTCACCTAGCAGACCTCAGTAAAAGCCAGGAACAGAGCCCCAGCCCCGGTGACAGAGCCAGCCGGTGCCGTGGGCTGCAGAACCAACAGCCGGAGCTGTTTGTGTGGCAGGACAGGTCGGTGGGTTCGGTGCTGCCCAGCCTCCAGGCATCACCTGAGAACCTGCACCCCCATTTCTTGTTCCACAGGCCTAAAAATGCCATTTTCATGCAGTAGTTCCTCAGGACAGAGGCTGCTCTAGATCCACGCAGCACTGGGCACCCCATAATCGCTGCCAAACCCAACACCTCCCTGCTCCAGCTGGGCGAGCGCCGCTGCTCTCACACGGCAAATGTGGGGTTCAGCGATGCCGAGCGAGCAGCATCAGCCCTGGCACGGCCCCCCCAGCTCTGCCCACAACCCTCAGCCTGGATCTAACACTCAAAAAC